GATAAGTAGAAATCCAAACGTGAAAATGGAATTATAGTAAATCCACACCAACTCAGACTTTACATAATGCAAAGAAATTCTTTCAAAAAGTTGTAAGGTAATTTAAAACTTCTTGACAATAGAAAAATTATAATTAACAAGTATTTTTGATATCCAAAAGTCTTTTTGATACTGTTCATTATATTGCTGTAGTCAGTAAGTTACTAAAAACTATACATTGTATTTTATATTGTACTGCCATGAAATCTTTTGAGCTCATTTCCTGTAATAATAAATTTACATAACCTATTAAAGATAAATAAAACTCTGTGTAGAACCGATCGTAATAAATTATTGTACTGTACATAAGGAATGTAGTCGTAAATTAAAAAATGCCAGAGCGCTAAACGGCGCTCTGGCATTTTTTGAATCTGTCAATGGAGGCGCCACCGTCTACCGGAGTTTTGTATGGGCAAAGATTAACTTTGTGACGCAATACCTGCAAAACGTCTTAAATGGGCCAAAAAACGACTTATATATTCGTAATCAGCATAAATAAAACTGGGCAAAAATTTAATTTTCTTAGTTTTTTGACTGAAGTACATAGTCTAAAGTCCAACATACTGGTAAATGTTTACAAAGTACAAGGGCTTTGCCCTGCTTAAAAAAGTAGGCAGGGCTGAGCCCTGATACCCCTTGCGCGTCTGCAGCGCTACTGTATAACCAGCTTTTCGTTTGCTACTTCATCAGAGAAAACATCCCGCTAACTCGATACAAATCTGAAGTCACGTTATTTCAATTCAAAATTTTTTCCCTGAAAGGAATTAGATAGACGACCGGGATGACTCTATTCTAACAGGAAAAGTATGATATACAGGGATTAGCCACTACTAATTTGAGGTGGCGAGCATATATTTTAAATTAAATTAATAAAAAATATGATTAAAAATTGCAGCCCGGTGTTATGACGATGTCACAATAAATGTTTGCACGCTTCCTATTGTATTACTTTTAAAATAAAAAAAACTGTGATTTAAGTCAAAAGTGAAATTGTTTATACCAGCAGCCGCCAACCGGTATATTATATGAGAAAATGCTGGTGGTCCGTGGAGAAATTTGGACAATGATCAACTGAAGGTTACACGAAGTATTGCGAAAGAAATGCAAAATACTCATTGGTTGTTTTTTCTCATCCATTAGGGTTTTTTTTTATTCGAATCTAAAACAAAACACGAATGACTTTTATCTATAAATAATAATGTCAATAAATCAATAAATAATGTGAGTGCGATTGTCATCCTTCGTGGAAAAGAGCCAAGATTTCATGAATTTATTTAAAAAAAGCTGCAGGAAACTTTATACTAATTTGTCATAAACAAGTGAATTTCATATTAATAACGTAAAATGGAACTTTTATTATAATTATTCTATAGATGTTTGTTTGTATCGTTTAAAAAATTTACGGTAATGGTCCGCAGGATTCAAAATTGTGAATTTAGTGGTCCGTGAGGTCAGAAAGGTTGGCGACTGCTGGTTTATATCATCCAAATTAATTATATAAATCAACAAATGCATAGTGCATACAATTAGCGTAAAATAATTTTTGTGATATATAATTATAATATTTTTTCCGTAAAAAATTTTCTATTGTACTTTTTTCTGCATTATAAAACTAATTTAGAATATATAGAGACTGGAGAAGAGCATATTAATCATATAAGCAAATTCTAAATAGCATGTGCCTTTGAGCGATTCTCTAAAATATTCGGGTTGTTTTTTCATAAGATAAATAAATATAGTAAGACCCCGCTTAACGCGGGGGATGCGTTCCTAGACAACAAAGCGCTAAACGAAACAGCGTTAAACGAGGTCATTTTAACATTAAATAGGGATAGGGGAACACGCGACCGAAAATAAAAAAATTTACTTTAATTTTAAGTTATTTTTATATTACTTTGTATAATAATATATGTTAAATAACACACAAACATATGCACACAGAAATGTATAATAATATATTAATAGTTCATTTTTTGTGACGAAGGTCCTAACTTTTCTGAATTCTTGTTTTTTTCTTTTTTTTATGCAATAAAGTCGTGAAGTTTTATTTGTCGTTTTTTTCTTTCCTTAAGCAAATGTCGGTAACAGAAGATCGCATCCAAAACGCCTCGTCTTGCTTTTGCACTCATTTCAAAATTTAGATCATTCGCTACAATTTGATCAACGATTTCATTATCATTATCAAACTTTTACTAAGGAAATCTGTAGAGAAATTTTTTGGGTTCTTCGTTTTCAGAATCTCTATTTTCCAGTTCTACATGGATTCCTTGTTCTGCCAGTTCTTGAAGGTCGTCGTTGGTAAGACTCTGACCAGAAATCTGCGGTAACTCCTCAATATCCTGTTCGTCTACATCTCCTAGTCTTGCTGTATCGATTAAGTTGAGTTTGGTCAACCTAACGATACAACGATAGGCTCTTCTCGTTGAGGATTCTTGAATACTTTCAGCCATAACTTCTTCCATACTTTGTTCGTGCATTTATCAGTTAATTCTTGCCAAGCTAAGTCGATATTGCCTATGACGTCTATGATGTTATATTTTTTTCCAAAATTGTACCGAACAAACATAGATTTAAAGAAAGTACATCTTTTTGCCACCTTTTTCTGATTGGTTCGTGTTCGTAAATAATTGTATTATGTACGAATCAATAAAATTCTGCGATAATTTAAATCAGCGTAAATTTTGAGCTTTTTTTTTAAGGCTTCGAGCAGACGGCGTTATATCGAATCAGCGTTAAGCGAGGCAGCGTTAAGCGGGATCTTGTTGTAAATAAATAAATTCAAAATGAAAACAAATTTAAAAACTTTACCTGATGTAAAATAAAATATTTTGGATGACCATTATAATCCCAAATATTAAATGTTATACAAGGATTTTCTACTAAATATTTTTTAGTTTCATTTTTTAAAACTTGGATTAATTGATTGACGCCAGGCACAGCACAATTTAAGGCTAAATGTGTCGATCAGGCTAAATACCATCAATGGATTCGATTAGCCTAGGTGAAGGATGGAGTGGTGATCCGATCTGTATTTCCCATGAAAAATTATGGAGATCTGAATCAGATCGAATCCAGGTTGGTCACTGTATATGGTTTTAATTACTTTTTACTAATCAGTTTTAATACAGTACTACTTAATAAGATTATGTATAATTTTCAATCAGTCCATTACTTTTTGTGGGAATGAATTGACTAAAAATTATGCATAATATTAATTCGATATTTGGAAAGGATCTAAATAAGGCGGATCACCAGTTAAAAATAGTTTTCATGACACTGTTTTTCCCTTCTGTTTCTCGAACGACTTTTCTTAATACAAATTTGCTTTTCTTAATACAAAATATCTAAAATCGAATAAAAAAAATTATATCACTTATTATACATTATAATCTTCTAGTTAAGACGCATCATTCCAAAGTACGTCTCATTCACTTTTGCTATATTTCCAGTATTCATTAGTTTTTTAAAGCTTTAAACTTGACAACACTAACATTGGTTTATAAACCACGTGAAATATTAAAAGTGTGTTCGGAAAGCCTGTTTTCGAACGATAAAAATATTACATTATGATAGGTTTTTAGATCTGGTGGATTTTACACTAAACTGGCAACTTTGCCTTGTTGTAATAGTCTATATGTCGGTCTATATGATGTTTGACATTTCAGTTATTTTTGAAAAATTGTTCGGAAATGTTCTAAAAAATGATTGAGGAGTTGTGTTTTTTAAAACTCATCCCTTTTCACCATTAAAAGTTGGTATCCTTCATTGTAACCCTAATTATTTTCATTCCCTCTGGTTTACTTTTTTGGGAGTCTGTCTCATTCTGCTCTATGGGCACTAAAAAATTTTTCCAAGCTCATTGTGGGCTCAATAGAAACGGCAAAGTGGTAAGAGATGTGTGTCAAATATATCCAATATGCCCATGAAAAATTTCTGGTTTGTCACCCAAATTCGATCCCTGGTCCCCAAAACAGTAAACTGATGGCTTAATCGCCTTGGCTATCCGGCTTTCTCATCCATCACCATCAATGGGAAGGAAAAATGTTATCAAGTTCAACTGCAGATTTCCTTTTGTTCATCACTTTTTTAAGTTGGTGGGTTTTTTTCCGTACTGTGTTCGGAATGTGTTATATATGAAAATGTTTGTCCAAAAAATTTGTAAAATAGAATTGTAATAAAGTTATCCCGGTTTGGGGCTGTCTATTTATGCAGTTGATTCAACGGTAATTTATTTTATCGTATAAACCAGCGATGAGCAACTTTTTCCGGATGTAGGCCTGAAATAAAATTCGTAGGCCTCCGGCGGGCAGCATGCGGGACCGTAACTCTGTAAGAAAAAATTTCTTACAGAGTTACGGGCTTTAAGCCGGCGGAGTATCAACATACTTCATAACCGCCGGTACACTGGAAACTAAAATAATATATGATAAAGATGTCGGGCTAATCCTTCAATACCAGACCGTATCCTTTGTGGGCCTGATCAAACACACGATGGTTATGATTAAAATGATCCTATTAGTGCCTACAGAACGGAAAGAGTAAAAGAAACGTGTATGGTTACTGTAATGAATAAAATCGTTATTAAAAGTTTAAAAAACAAATTTTACAAAATAATAATAAAAGTATAAAGAAACACAAATAAAAACATATATGTACAAACAAATTAATTGTTGTTATAAAATAAATATTTTAAACTAAATGTAAGTATATGTTCTTTAAAAATGGAGGATTTGCAAATACATCGTATTAAACATTTTTGAAATGTTATATTTAAAAATTATAAGTACTAATAATTAATAGAAACTGATTAATTTTATAAAATTTTTAAATAATTAGAATTAATATTCTAATTAAAGTACAAAAATTGAAAAATAATTTTTTCAAAAATTAAAATTGCGCGCATTTATACGTAAAGTCTATTAAGGTAACGTGGCAAAGTGGTATTAGGAATAAAATCGTTTTATCGACAACTTAATCTAAATAATAAATTAATAAAATATAAATTAATTAACAAAAATATAAAATATTTCAAAATATTATATTAAATTTTATTATAGGCGTTAAAATATTTCTCATTCTATCGGTACTATTTATCGAATCGACACATTACGTTATGGAATTATGTCAAGCGTCCTATCGGCTGGTTCTTCAGGTTTTCGTTTAGATTCAAAAGAGGTTTTAAATCAAAAATATAAACACTGGAATAACTAAAATCCGAATGAACGATTACGTTTTAATCTATTAAACGTTTAATTTGAAAATCTTTTCAATCATGAGTTTGAAACAAAAGAGGGAATCGTCCAAAATGAGAATCCGTGCATTTCCAGTGAGTTAATTCCGATTTTCAAACTTAATTTTGACTTATAGAAGAATGCCCATTCATTAACATTAATAATTAAATATATAATGGACTGTAATCATGTCCGAATATGTATTTATACGTTAAAAGAAGCTTAGATTATATCAAGATTATACTAATACTTATCATTCTAGGCCTAATTATATTTCAATGGTCATTTATATATAATATATACAAAATATGTATCATATGCAACCACATTAAATATTATATTATAATCATTCAACATGTTGAGACAGACAAACACCAGGTAGCAAGAGTCAACACATGTAAACTTTATCTCCTCTCAATACCACAGGTAACAGGATTTAGAGATGATGATGATTCAAATATGTTTTTTTAATCAATGATTCTTACATCAGATGTTAAATTGAAATTCTTATACACATTTCTTTCAAATTAGTGAGTTTTTTTCTTACACAATGCTTATCTGTAATCATGCTATTCTCTGAGGTATTATGTTTTAACAGCTTGTCATTTAAGTATTGTTTTGTTTTAGTTTGATATACTTGTATAGATATTTTGCTTGGCTTTTAAATTAAGTTTATGAATTTATTTATTTATATATTATAATGTCAAAGAATATATAATTTATTGTTTTGTATTTGATGCAGATTTAATATTTGTTACATCATTTTTTTTTTTTTGAAGATTGTAAATAGATTGAAGTATAAATGAAGCATGCAATGCCGTAATGTTGTAAATGCCAAAAAAGAAACTTTTCGGGAGAGGTAAAAACCACTTTTTCTAATGAATGAATACATAAATTTTACAATAAAATGGTAAAAAACTCACTAGGTTACAAATTCTCCACAATATCAAAATGATGTAAATATAAGCTGTAATGTTTTAAGTGCCAAAAGTCATGTGACTTGCACTCTGGTGCCTTAAACGTTATATCTTGTAAATTTGTCTTCAAAATAGACACTTAAGGTGCCAATATTGCTGCAATATTCTTTTGCCACAGAAAATATTGCATTTAGAATTTGATTCTTCGATAAAATGTATTTAGAGAAAAAGGCACTTAACAACGTTATGGCATTGCATGCTTCAAATATGCATAAATTGGTTTTAACACGATTTACATTGATCTAAATATTTAGGTTGCGCTATTCTTGTTATCTTAAAATACAAGAAAAATTTGCTAATAAATTTTCAATGAATCAAAAATATTTATTAAAAATATTTTTGTCTGTTGTAAATTTCATAAATTATAAATTAATTATATGAATAGAAAAATGAATAACATTACAAAAAAATATTAATAAATGTATATATATAAGTGTTATATAAAACTATTAATATGAAATTAAATCATATATGTATATTGAGCACACACTTAATTTATTTTTATGTCTATAACATATGCTTATATTATATGCTGTTTGGTAATTTATATTTATGATATTTTACTTTTAAGTTAATGTTTAAAAAGTTAATATTTTCAGATTAACAGGATTGAATATAAAAATTTTGAAATGATAAATTAAAAACTAGTTCTAAGTTTGATACAATACAACAGTAGTACTTGACATAAATTTAACTCCCCATTGTATGAATTAGGCTATTTATATTTTAAATAAATAGTCATTTCCAAGTTTATAATAATTTTACGTTGTACAAATTTTGACTTTATTACTATAATTTTCAGGTGCATTTATTATATATCCTGAGGTGTTTAGTTCAATACTTAACCATCTCCAAGAATGTATGGCACAAAAACATTTCTTATATTAAGTATATGTTTATGTAGTAGTTGATCTTATCTTAAAATTAAACTATTTTAAATCAGTTTATCATTACAGTCTACATATAAAACAGAACTTTCTCTTGAAATAATTGAATTTTTCTTATGAAAATTTTCCAAATGGGAATTGCTAATTTTGACACTAGATGACTCATATGACTGTTCTGTTTTCCTTATTCTTGTATTAAGGCAATTTTTAAACTATTAACAAATTCTATAACAAGAGCATTGTAATTGAAATTGAATGTGCTCTTCATATAAACTGTTTTCAAGTATCTTAAAATTATTTTCATTTTTCTTAAATATTTTTAAGTTAATGTGTTATGTTAATATGATTATTGTTTTGACTATTAACTAATTTTACCTTTTCTTTATTGAAATTTGTTTATTTGTTTTCCATAAATTTAAATTAATATATTTTTTGAGTTTTATTTTCATTTTATTTTGAAAAAAATTATTTAAATTTTATGTTATAAATTAATGATAGCTTTAAATTTTTGTTTTAGATGTTTTTTATTTTTAATCAAGTTGATAATTAATAGTAAAAATATTTAATCATTTAAAAAATAATTATTTTTATTAATCTATAATTTTGTCTTTTCTGTTATAATTCTAATATTATTCTAATTGTTATAATCTATGATTATTATTTTCTGTAATTTTTTGGAGAGATCTTAATTGATATGTTCAAATCTCTTATTTTTATTTAAAGAAATTGATAATTTTAATGCCTTTTTTATCTACTTAATTTGATTTATTTTGTAAATTAATTTTGGTGGAATGTTTTTACCAATTGAAATATGAAATATTCTTATATAACCTGACAAATACTAGATTACAGAAGTGATCAGCTATTTTCTGTTGACATTTTATAAAAAATAACTGTGTTTCAAATAGGATGGATTCATTATTTTATTAATTTTTTAAAGTTAAACAAAAGTTGCTTACAGGATTTATAAAAATCAAAAC